CTTCCATCAGTATTCCCATCTACCATGTCTTAGTTCTTATGTTGGGTGCTAAAGTTGAAAACATACTCCAGGGGTTTGGATTTAGAATAGATTAGATTTTAGATCACTGGACCTAATTTTTCTAAATTCCTTTCTCTCTCCTTTAAATCTTTGTTTTGAAAATCAAATGAAAAAATGTTATTTTCTCCTTTTCCTTCACATTTATTTTACTCCACAAAAACTTTTTGAGCTTCCGACAGTATGACAGACACCTTACTAGGCAGTGGAAATACAGAAGACAATGCAAATGCAAATGTTTCTCCCTTGACTTTTGTAGCCTAAACTCATTTTAATTAGGGGGTATTATGCAAATATATGGAAGATGGTGAGGGTGTGATTATACTGATACAATTCAGCTCAATTATGTAGCAGTTCTATTATGATCCCCGGAATTGAAGACTTCACGTACAAGACTGGGATCACTCTTTGCACACCTGGCCCTCTCTACTTCTCCAGCCAGGCTGTGGTGAGTGACCAGAGGGACTGGAGTTTTGTCTGGCTGTAGATGTGAGAGGTTATGGGTGTCAGGCTGAACTTGAGAATCAAAATTAAGCTTTGTGAATTGGTGTCTAAGTTTTCTCTCTGACTTCCTCTCCTTCTTTTGCCTGCAAGACTTTTGCTTATAGGCACACACCAACCTCTGTAATGTCACTAAAACAAAATTATGATAATGTCAGGCTCTTTACTGAAACCTTGTGTTTATGGACTCTTGTTATTTTTATAGTCAAATCTAAACTCCATTTGTTTTTAAAACTCTATGTAATCTGGCCCCTGCCTTGCCTTTTATTCTTGTTTTTTTGCCACATTTTCTCTCCTTAACTCAGTGTTCTAGCCATATTAAATCATCTTTACTTTCTCTAACATAGTATGCTCTGTCGTTTCTCTGGATCTTTATCCATACTATTACCTGTGGCTGGCAGGCATCTCCTCCCTTCTTTGAGATCGGAAGTTTTAATCATTACTTCTTTGGGGAGGCCTTTTCTGTCCCTCCACACTCCACATTCTGAATTGAGTAAAATTTCTGTATGCTCTTATAGCCCTCCATATCATAGCCTTTAGAGCATGCATTTGAATCTAGGAAATTTACTCTAAAGCTTATGCTGTGAAGATTGCCACTTGCTGATAGTGCATTCTGTGGAAAAGTTGCCTAAAAATCTCTGAATCGCAATCGTTTCCTTGCTGAAATGGAGAAATGCTATCTAGTTTGCTGTCAGAATAACATTGCATTTATACATGTAAAATGTTTACCAGACAATAATAATTAATAATAATAAGTCTACTTAGCTTAAATTTTCTGTTTGTGTTTATCTCCCACTAACCTATGGGTCTTTGAGGGCAGCCACCGTATCTGTGTTGTTTGTAAACATTCTCTCTTCATATTTAATAAATGAATGGGTGAGATCTTTCTGTACCACAGCCTGGCCAACAAGTCATACCTCTCAAGGAGAATTTGTAGGTGTCCCTTATCCTGCCTGCTCTATGTTGCAGAAGCAACCCTTGGGGGAGGTGGTCCTCACACTTCCAGTGATGCACAATATGTGAAAATTTTGGGATATCTTTTGCACCATAATTTCACAGAGAGGGTCTTGAGGTGGATAAATTGACAGGAACAGTGAGGTTGCATTGAAATGAGCAGGTTCTGACAGACTTACGTGATGAACAACAAAGAAAACAGCTTGTCTTCTTGTACTTTGAAGTCCAGACCTACAGTCTTATGACTTATGCTATTCTTGCATACTCACAAATCTTTTATTTATAATGTCAAGTTGGTTACTTGAATAACCATGTGCCAGAATGTGTGTGTGTGTGTGTGTTTGAGCTACAAACAATAGGATGAACCAAATAAATACAGAAACACGGTTTTCTGTGTTTCAAGAATACCATTAGCCAGGTGATCTGGATTTTACTGAGATTTGCTAAAAATGAATTTCCTGAAGAAAGAGAGAGCATACAGAGTTTACTAAGGATTTTTTGTTTGGTTGGTTTTTGTTCTGTTTTGTTTTTCCCATTTTTTTCACGATAGAGTCTTGGGAACTTGCTTTCACTTGAGTTACACCTAGGCTTGCTGCAGTTTTCAGATAGTTGCAAATGGTTGAATATGATATAAAAATACTTTTAGTTATTGTACACTTACTTTGTCCACTCCTTTTTCTCTGTTTCTCAAATAAATTATCTCAGATTCCAAAATCAAATCTGCAGAGTAGATGTTTTATCCCTAAATTATAGGCAAAGTAACTGAAGCTCAAATAAATGCATTCATCTCTCCATTTCATATAGTTAAAGCCCTAAATGTTGCTTTGTTTTACTCTTTCAGAAACCTGTGCTTTCCCCTTCTGCCTCAGTCACTTTTAAACACAAGGGACCATCAAAACCTAAGTTAAGACTACATGCAGTTTACTTATCAGAGGCTATTGATAAATGTAAAGAAAAATATGACACAATTAAGTTCCAACATAAATGATGATAACACCATTTTGAATGACTTTGAGTTGTCATAGCAAAAATGCTGTGTACAGGAGTGACACATCCCAATACCTCTGTGTCTCAGGGCTGCCTAGCATGTGGATGGAAACCTCTATGAAGGATATATTATTCAAATTTTCTTTTTTTAATAAAAATGCTAATGGAAATGTTAAAATGCACATAAATTAAAATGATCATAAATTAGGATTAATATCACATTAATGAATTATAATCCCACATTCATTAAGATAAAGTGGCATTTCAATATTTGCTCTTGTTAATAAATTTAATACAATAAATGAAAGGGATACATTTGGAGATTCAATAAATATTTGATGTAATCTTATGCTTTAACTTTTTAAAATATTCAAGTAAAGTAGGAGATCTAGATGCATTTGGATTCTTTGTTGCTATTTTATGTCTTTTTTTATATTCTTTTCATTTATTGAAGCACTAAATACAATTTAAATTGGCGAAGAAAGCAATAGAGCCTGTTCTGAATAAAAGAGATCCCAAGAGAACAGAATGTCTTTTGAGTTTCTAGGAGTGTCTTTCCACACAGCATTTTTTTTTTTTTTTTAAAGGAACAAGTATTTGAAATTCGAAATCTTACAGTGCAGTAACTGGAGCTATATATATATATTCTGAAAATATGTGCATTTAAGCACCATTTTACAGCTATAGTTCAACGAATTTTTCTTTTAAAAATGCAAACTAAAGTATATTTATTTTTGTTTTATTTTAGTTTTTTAGCAGGAGTCCAACAGAGTATAAAGAAGATGTACCATGTATCAGGACACTCCTGTCTCCCTCTTGAGAGTAAACTGGAAATTTTAAAGCAGGGATTCTGTTTTCCCTAGTACCTACCAAAATGTTTCAGGTAGAGTAGGTGTTCAGTAAATTTTTGTTACCCTTGTAACTGAACTAACGAGTCCAATCGTTGGTGAGTCACAGAAAGAAACTACACCAGGTGGTGTTGTTGTCCAAGTGAACTTTATTTGTGGCAAATAAGGAGACCGTGGGGAGTAACCAAAGCTGTGACTTCTGGAGCAAGGGTGAATGTGTTCCTTTTGTTTTGGGTTAGGATGAATTTTTAGAAAGGGGAGCCCTGTCATTGGATATAGAGGCCGCCTTAAGGTTGTGCACATGCGCCTTACAGAAACATGCCTGTATATGTACAAGTATGTTATGTAAATGAGGCTGTGCTCTTCCTGGGGAGGAGATTCTACTATTATAATCAGGTAAAGGTAACTGTCAGTCACTCTGTGGGTCACTCCATGGTCCATCTGCGCAGGAATGCATCAGGGTTTAGTTCATGTTGGGCTGGGTGGTCTGGACCCCGGAAAGCTCCTCCAGGCTGTTCTTAACACTTGAGGGATAGTTTTGGTTTCCATCATGGGATGTTATGCCCATAGAGTCTTTTGCCTGAGTTAAGAGATAAGCTGGAAAGAGAACTTAAGGAAAAATGTGGAACAAAGGTCTGCAAGCAGGGATGTAGTAAAGGTCAAGTCTTGGGGTCTAGCTGGTGAGAACCTGACCTGAGATGAATCTCTGTTTCTCTTGTGAAGTTTTGATTTTCCAGATGGGTCCCTTTTCTGGCCTCAGTAATCTTCTCTGTAAAATTGGAATAATTTTCCTGGCCCAGAAGCATTGTACAGATCAAAGAAAAGAAGGTCCTAGAGAACATAAGATCTTAATAGGCATCAGATTGAATTATTTTTGCCTTTATAAATATAACAGGTAGATCTGAGATGAATTCTGGGTCTACTGCACTTGATTCCAACACATACGAACCTTGGAGAGGTTATTATGTGCCTTGTCAAACCTCGCTTTTCTTTTTTTTTTTTTATTTTTTTTATTTGACAGAGAGAGACACAGTGAGAGAGGGAATATAAGCAGGAAGGGTAGGAGAGGGAAAAGCAGGCCTCCCGCCGAGCAGGGAGCCCGATGTGGGATTCGATCCCAGGACGCTGAGATCATGACCTGAGCCGAAGGCAGACACTTAACGACTGAGCCACCCAGGAGCCCAAACTTCGCTTTTCTAAGTTTCATGTGAAATATTCTAATTCATCAACTTTCGGAAAAATTAAGAGAATTAATATACAAGAAGCAAATCCCATAGTTCTTGTCACACAGAGAGTGATCCATTAAAGGTAGCTAAGAAGAACTTTAGATAAATGTATTAATAAATGGAAAAGAATGCATACATTTTTGTGTTTTCCTCTTGATCTTTTTATCATTCTAAATGCATGCCAGTTTACACCAAACAGGTCACAGTACTTTTTAAAACAGTTCTAACTGATTTGTATAAATTTCATTATATTTTATTTTGATTGATATGCATACAGTGTATAAACTCTTTGTAAAACTACTGTTAGTAGAAACTGATGAAGTTAGGATGAATGTAGAAAGAACCAACTTGATATTCAAACAGGAGGTACTTAAAAAATAACTTTGCAAATTGCCCCATCGCTAACCAATGCCACTTTTCATTTTAGCTGCACACAGACCTGGATCCTGGGAGCAAAAAAATCAAGTATATCTTATCAGGCGATGGAGCTGGGACAATATTTCAAATAAATGATATAACAGGAGATATCCATGCTATAAAAAGACTTGACCGGGAGGAAAAGGCTGAGTATACTCTAACAGCTCAGGCAGTGGACTGGGAGACGAACAAGCCTCTGGAGCCCCCTTCTGAATTTATTATTAAAGTTCAAGACATCAACGACAATGCGCCGGAGTTTCTTAATGGACCCTATCATGCTACTGTGCCAGAGATGTCCATTTTGGGTAAGTAAGCTTCCAATTTCACAGAACTATTAAGACTCATCTTTAAAATAGCTCCTGGCATCAGGGCTGGTGTGTTGCTGAATAAAAGACATTTATTACTGTCTTATGTCTAATTTGCATTTCCAAATCCCCTTTTTTGGCCTAAGTTCCACAGCTCAATAGCTTTAGTCCCTTAGTAGTAGGAACTGACGAAGCAGTTTTATTAAAATATCGCTCCTTACAATGACAGTACCTCAATAGGCTGAATTTGTATTCCTCTCATAGACTTGTAGTTTGAGTATTGTTACTGGGATGGATTTATCAAGATATGTTCCAACATGCCAGAGTAATCCTATTGATATTTGCTTGATGTTTAATTATTTGTTTGTGTATATTCACATGCAGATGCAGGGCATAGAGAAATAGAAGACAGTCTAGATCTGTAGTCAGCCAGATACTGGATTGAGCTGGTGGGTCAAGTCAAGAGTGAGTTAGGAAATCACAGTTGCCAGAGACTTCTTCGTAACTGAACTTTTTTGTGGGAACACTGCAATCACTGATGGGATCACTCTTACTTGTGCTGAGGCAGTGAAATATCCATTTTATTTTACAGAGCAGTGTTTATTTCAAAACATGATTTTCTCCCTTTCTTTTTTCCTTTTGTGGATATGCTTATCTATCCTCAACCCCTGTTCCCAGACTTTATACTGTAAGAGGAGGGGTTTTAGAGCTCTTCCTTCTCTGACAAGAAGAGGCAGGATCCAAAATTCAGAGTATAAGATCACAAAAGTCATTCTTATGTATGTAATGTGTACCCTAGTTTGTTTCAAATTGCATTTAAGACAACCTACAAGGATTCATCCTGCGTGGCAAAGTCACATAAATCGGAGGCAGTTGAAATGATGAGACAAATAAAAAACACAATAAATTGTAGACATGTAAATTGAAGGCCAGAATTAGGTAAATAGCCTGGCTTCATGTGATTTCTTCTCTTTTAACCTACGGTGTAACTTTGGTAAATATACCCGTTTCAGCACCGAATGAGAATTGATTCCAGGTCTTCGTATCTTACCCATGTATTTCTCCTGCCAAGACTCCATCCACTTTGCCTATCTCTTCTGCAAGGAATTCTACTTTTTTTTTCTTTTTATCAAAATCTGGTTGCTCTTCTACAGCTGGTTGAAATGACACTTTTTTCTAGGGAAACTTCTATGGCTTTGGAGTACACAGTTACCTTCCTACCATCACCATCACCTGCAGAAGAAACCCACAAATGAGCAAAAGCACCTCCATGGTTATACTCCCTTGAGAATCTGACATGCAAACAGGAACTGAGAAACACTACCTTTTCCTCCCCCGCCCCGCCTTTTCTTTGATCAACTCATTTAGGGCAGAGAATTTCCCTAATTCATCTTTTTTTTTTTTAATCCAGATGAGAGTAAGGTGTTCTTTTTTTTTTTTTTTTAAGATTTTATTTATTTATTTGAGAGAGAGAATGAGATAGAGAGAGCATGAGAGGGGGGAGGATCAGAGGGAGAAGCAGACTCCCTGCTGAACAGGGAGCCCGATGCGGGACTCGATCCCGGGACCCCAGGATCAAGACCCGAGCCGAAGGCAGTCGCTTAACCAACTGAGCCACCCAGGCGCCCGAGAGTAAGGTGTTCTAAAGGATTATCGATACCTGCAGTACATACAGAATCCTTTATCTTAATTGCCAGTAAACAATGAACTGTTGATTTCATCTCATCATTGTCATTTCTGCATCATAATGGCCAAATCTATATCTATTTATTGTAAATGTGTCAGAGGCTTCCATTTCTTGTAATATGAGTCGTGTCCCTGATAAGTATGTTGAGAAAGAAAATCCCCAAAACTTCTGCACGCTTCAAGGTCGTTTAGCTAAGAAAAGGATATTGATATTATTAGCTACATAATGCGGTGTATAAATATATACTTGTAAATATATAGGCATTTTTTTCCCTTTGTTTAAAAGACTTTTCTTGATAAGAAAGTAGAGAGCAAAGGAAATAATCTATTCTAACATATACAGTTACTTAAAAAAAAAAAAAAGTGTAGCTTGTGACATCTCTTCCAAAAAACCTCTGGTTTGTGCTACCATTGAAAGGGTGGTTTTTGAAGTTAGATAGATGGAGTTTTGAATCCTGGTTCCATCCCTTATTATCTGGTTGACTTTGAAGTTCAGGGAGGTTAAATTATTGCTTATTTTCCTGAGCTACAATGCAAAGATAATAATTTCCATCTTGCTTTCATTGTGTGAGAATCGCATGATAAAGTACAAGGAAAGGTATGCCGTGAAGTAAGTAAGTGTTCAAAATTAGTTGTTGTGGTGGTTTTTAAAATTATTTTTATTCATCTATTCCCCACGTTACCTTTGGACCTTTCCTCATGTATTGATTTTATGCGTTGGGTGTCTGGCTTCTGTTTGACTCCAGCCTCTGTGGTTAAAGGGAGCAGAAGCAGCTGCACTATTTTATTGTCAACTGTGAATTATTCCCTTCATTTCTCATGAAGGTGAATATCAGGATGAAGGCCAGCTACTATCTCCTTTCTCTCCCCATTACCACTGTTCTCTCTCAGCCTGTCTCTTCCCTCCCCTCCTTAGTTCTTTCATTTTTCTTCCTTTGCTACTGCAGAAATACCAACTGAGGAATGCCAGTGAGGACTAGGGATTTCATTGTGCAGAAAGTGAAAGATAAAAATTCTAATTGAGAAATTTACCAATATTAAATTGAAATGAATGTGATGTTCAAGAACTGTCTGCCAGTTGACAAGCTGTCAAGACAAAAACACACGTATATATTTGCCCAAATGGCAGCCAGATTGTTTTGGAAAGATCTTACTTGGAAGCTGGAGACACAGCTCTTTTATATTCTACTGTGAATTTCAGAACTTGATTTTATAGCAATACCACATAAAGAATGGCATGTGAGCTTGTCTGATTTTAACTGTGAATCCCAAACTAACATTGTTGAAGTTGGTTTTTCAGGGCACATTTACCTACATTTATTGAGTTTCAGACAAAATAGACATTTTTAATTCCGTTGTACATTGCGGTGATGGGTATTTAACCCTGACCATATGCCTACACCTGTGTTCAGATAAAATAAACTTTTATTTGAGTTGAAAATAGAATCTCAGATTATTTGGCTGCAAATTTGCCTTCTATTTGTGTAAGTGACATAATCCATATAAGCCTTACTTTATCTGTATGGTGTGTGCAGTGATCTCTACCTAAATAAATACGTTGGGAAGAATTCAGTGATTATATTTAAAGTACTTGGCAGAGCATAGAGTTAGTGACCAACATATATTGGTTTCTTTACAGCCATCCATTTGTGAATTACTTCTACTAGTAAGATTCAGTAAACTGATACGAATGGCTGAGTCAATGAAAAATTTCTCAGCAAGCCTTACCTTTATATTTCAAAAATGTACATGTTGGAATGAACCCTGTTTTATTCAAAAGGGCATATTAGTGAAGGCAAGTGTGAAGCGATGAGAAGCCAAATAGTGCTTAAGCTGGTAGGCATTACTGTATTGTAGAGTACACAATTACTTAGCACATGACGCTGGCGGTTTTCTTAGTTTTCTTTGAGACTCAGGACTTCTCTAATGATGATCAATGTGTATTGAAAAGTTGCTATATGCCAGAAGCTGTGTTAAATGCTTTTAATATCTGTGACAACCCTGTAACATCAGTACTGATATTAACTTCCTATATCTCATTACTTTTAATCAGAAAAATGGGGAAAATAATAGCTAATCCAAATCCAGATAATAAGTGGAGGAGCTAGGATTTAAATCCAGACATCTGGCTCTACCTCTCATGAGTTTAACCAGTACGCTCTGCTAATCTTTGATAATATCTCTAGAGAATTTTGTTTATACGAGCACTGTGCTTCTGCTGCATACTTATAATAGTTAATATTTTTACAAGGTGGAAGAGCACTTGAGGTCAACATACTTTGCAAATTAAATTGAAAACTAAGACGGGATTTGGAAAGGAAAAGTTTGGGTTAAGTATGACACAATTTTCAAGATAGGCACCTAAGCACTTGAGAAATGTAACAACAGTACATCACATAGAAATTCAAATAACAATAAAATTAATTAGGAGCCATGTGGTGAACACTGGCTCTGAAGTGCTGTTAATATAATAAAGATAAAGACTAAAGAGAGTGATGGAGATTGACTCTAGATTTCCTGGTCGTGAATGCAAAAGGAGAATGCGCTTTCCACAAAAAATAGGCGTCAAAATATCAGAAGAAAGTTAAGAGATGACTTAGTAAGATAAATTTGAAAAAGGCACATCTCACTACCTTGTGAAAGGCTTACAACGGGCAGTTATGGAAGTCAGTACACAGTATGCTAGTGAACTTACTCTCCTTGAACACGAACTCAGCCAAAGGAAAATGTTAAAGTTTGAAAATAATTTCAGTCTTTTTCCTTCTACATGTTATTCTCATTCTGTCTTCTCTTGTCATTCATATTAAGCCTCTTCTTTATGAATATCTTCTTTTATGATAAACATGCTCGGATCCTCTTTTGGAGGAAGGCCCATCTAAAATACATATTATTTATTTTGTGTCTTTTCATCATCTTTGATTTGGAATACACTTAATCTTAGAGAATTTCTCTTGGCCTTCAAAAAAAAAGATAAAGTGAAACATTCTATCTTAGAGAAAAGGGGTAAATGGAGCTCTATAGAGTTTATTTTTTTCTTGAACCGTGTGAGACCAAGCCACTGACTTGATGCCCCATCACCATGGAAAACCTCAGGAAGTCCTTCCCACATGGATGCTTTTTTCCACAGCCATCATTATCAGGAAATTTATATCAATATGCCATTGATTGCTCTTGAAAGCACAGACCTTGGTCAAATGTCTCCAATTGTGCTGTAATTTTTTTTTTTAATATTAAAAAGATAAAATCCAGGACTGCATGTGCATTACCATTATGTTTCTAGAATGCTTCAATCTGGAATGTTTCTTGAGTCTTTG